TTGGATCGCCCTATTTACGCATAAACATCAAGTTTTTCACGACTGGATGATTTAATACGATTATAATGTGGTATTTTTATAGTGAGCATTACCGTTGTGGTATATTTGGCTATGCATACGAATAATATACGTATAGGTATAAATTGTGTGTCGTAACGTTCGTTGAATCATGATCCATCGACTGTTATTGTCTAGAAATATTCAAATTTAGTTGTTTTAATTAACTATAACAATATAATAAAAATAAAATAAATCGTGAATATGGTATTTTTTTCGTACGTAGTTAGATAATTGTCAGTAATAATATCTTCCCGTATACAACATTCGAACCGCGAACTTAGGTTTTGAAAAATAAAAAACCCTCATCTTGAATCTCACAGTTCATTGTTGTGACATTATTAAATTAATCCATCAGCCTTAGCGTTATAAACGGATACCGTAGTTTTTGTTTTTTAATTATATTTAGGAATATGCGCATACCGCTCCGATGTGTAGTATAATAATGATATTGTCCTCCTACTTTGTTCGTGACAATAGGTGATACATAATTGAAATAAATGTATAAATTATAGTCCTGTATTATAGAGTCTGTTTTCTGGGCAAGTGATTATAATTATACAATAATTGTTCTTTGTGCGTCTAATTATTATTCTTATGATTGTGTATAATAATACACTATGATATTTTATATAATATATATATATATATATATATATATATGTTCACTTCTATATCAAAAGACGAAAAAATCATTTATTTTTTTCCTACCAAACACGATTCAAACATTAATTTGATGGTTTTACAATCTTTCTCATTATTACGATTATATAGGCGGTATTTCAACGTATTTAGGATAGAAATTAAAAAAATCTAATGCGTGTAATGTTTATAGATTGAAAATTGACTGCGGGTAAAATGTAACCTATTAATGAACGATGATTTGTGGCTGTAAACTACATTTTTTTAATAAAATCCACGTTATTATATTAATGATGTAGTAATTTATAATCTTTCTCAATTGACATGTACGGCTTAAGAGCACAATACGTAGTAGATTATTTTATACATTATATTTATATTTTATACATTTTATTTATTTATTTTTTTGTTTAAAGATCGTTTAATACTATTTACGAGCGTATTGCGAAATATATGATTTGTGCACGGAAATTTTGAAATTGAGTATTTACAACACAGCAGCTGTTACTGAAACTGTATTTAAATATGACAGTTTATAATGGTGATGAGAGAAAAAGTTCTCGTATTATTATAATATGAGCGTATACTATCGATATTTAATGTTTTAATTTTGTCATAAAAACTTTGCAATTACTTGTTTTTCTCTTCGTCCCGAGTAGCGAGTAGCTTTACTGAAATATATGTTTTTATAATAATGACACAATAATGAAAAGGAAATTACTTTTTTTGATTTATAAAATAAAATTAGCATAATTTGTATTTTAATAAAATCTAACACATTTTATTTTTTTATTTAGACGTGATTTATTATTATTAATAAGTACACATGACATTCTTATACAAATATAACTTAGATTATTGTGTTTTATATTAAATGGTAATATAAAAGTATGTTTATTTTATATTTTTATAATTCAAAACACAAGAATTAATTCATAAATAACCATCAGATGTTTGTTAACGTATTATTGTAGATGGTCTGAATGTGAATAGATTATGTTAAGATTATTATTACATTTTTTTCCCCCGAGTAATTGCTCCTTGACCGAAATTATGAACCAGAAAAATTAAAAGTAAAACTATATTAACTATAAATATATTAATCGCACGAATAAAACAATATATAAAAACAATTTTAAAGTGGTAAATCAATTTTATTTCAAATGTATAAAATGATACAAGTATAATTACAATTTTACAAAATTCAATTCGTTTTTTATAACTTAATTGATATAATACATACAGACAAGATAATATAGGTCGTATAATTTTTTTGTCGAAAGTTTATTTATTATATATATTTTCTAATTTAACTAATAAAATGAATCAATTTATTTTAATGTGAACTCGTTATACATTTTCTATTGGTGTTAAATCGTTAAACAAAATTTCGAAAAAATTAGAAAATGGTTTTAATTTATATTGGAGTTCTGAACTTTTTTCAAATTTAAACAATCTTTAAATTATGAAACTGATACAAATAATAAAATTATTCATACAGAAAAGAAAAAATAATTTATTAATCACTTGCACTATTTAAGCTATAAATTAATCCTTTTGCGTGTCGCTTAGAACGTATGCACATCGTATGACAATTATTTACGGAAAATTGTATAATTAAATGATATACCAACAAAACTATAATATAATTCAATTTGTGAGATTGTATTGCGGAAGTTATTACACGATTCAGGCTTACTTGACATGAATAATCGTACCTACTTACTTTTTACGTAAATTATGAAATATTTAACAATATTTACTTTTGAGATTTATACTTTACCGTTACTCAACCACCACACAGTGCATAAATGTTCACATGTCTAATGCAAGGCACGTTGTTTGCTGTGGCGTATTTAGACTTACTTCTAGGGGGGGGGGGGGGCGACTTAAATTTTTTCTTTAATTCAGGCTCAAAATTTACAAGTAAAATTTTTGGTAATATTTATATTGGGTGAATCCTTAATATTTGTGGTTTTTTTTTTTTTTTTTTTTTTTTTATCTAATGCCGGATCCACTTAGAATAGTCTTTTGTGTAGTTCTTTTTTAACACCTATATGTGTTTTGAAAGTTTCGCTTGTGTTTTATCTAATTTTTCACTAAGTTTGGACTGGGTCTTCAATTAAAATAATATATATATTATTTATCGTTATGGGAAAAATAAACGTTATAAGCAATTGAGTGTTAAACGCTATTAAATTTAAGCGTTTAAACGTTATACAAATTTAAACGTTTAAAAAATTTTCCGTTTACCATATTAACAATTAAAACGTTATGAAAAATTTAGCGTTTTGCGTTATTTAAATTAGTGTAAAATTTGAAACGTTTTCAAATATAGTAATACTATTAAATAAATCATAATTTTTGTTTCTTGATAAAATATCCATTACTTATATAATAATTGTCTTGGTCTAAAAATTTCCCGGGGAGGGGGCGATTGCCTTCATTGCCCCCTCACAAATATGCAACTGGTTGTTTGCACGATAATAATTATTATCATTATTAGAGCAATGATTTATATTTCATTTTTCTGGAAAATCGGAGAACGCATAATTCACTAACTAAAAACTTAAAGATAATAAAAATAAAATTCAACATTTTATTACGTTAAACTATGGACATTTATTTTTATTGCCTACGTACATAAACGCGTATATTATATATAAATGTATACGATGCACATATACAGCCAAAGTTGTCACACACACACATATTTAATGGATTCCTTCTTTCTTTGAAATGTTCGCACGACTCGAGTGCGTCTTGTAAATTTTAAAATCGCACGTTTTTCTTAATTTCGAAACATTTAACACAATCAAAAATTAAATCATCTCTACTCGACCGTTAACATTCTCTCTCACGTTTGTAAAATTTAATTATATGTCGTATGGGCATATAAATATTTGTAATGAAGAAATACAATGTACCATATTATCATTTATTTTTCTTTCTTTCAAATTATAAATAATTTATAGCACAAAGCTTTCTTAACAAATTGTATTTCAGACACTAGTTAAAATGTATATACTTGCACATACAGCAATATAATTTAACAATATAAACATAAATATTTTTTCATTATGGAACTTATTAGTTAGTATATACATTTAAAATCAGAGTGATGATTTTGATTGCAATGAGTTATTCGTCTTGTTGATCAGACCTTGAAATCTTAGATTAGTCGAAAAGGCAAAGGGGAAGAAATAATTTGGAAACAATTTTCCCGCTAAATTAGTTGAGATAATTTGTTTGCAATTGGTCCGAATGGAGAACGTCCAATTAAGTTCATTGTAATTAATGAGTAATTTTCTCGACTGAAAAAAAACACTTGTCCACTATACATTATTGCAATCCACTTCAATCGATTATACGTCTTCTCTGATAGATTTTAAGATAGTTTCATACAATGCTGTTAAAGTTACTGAAAATGTTTACCACGTTGAGCACGAACAATTATATTATTATCATTAATAGCTATGGTTGGATGTTTCATACGTAAAAATTAAAAAAATTTACTTTAACAGACGCGACGGTAATATTAAATAGGTTTAAATCGGTAGTGAGTATTTTCCATTTTTTCAGTTTCGATTTTAATCTAGTTGAGTGAAAGGGAATTTTAAATTAAAAACTAAAAATATTCACACGCTCTTGCACTCTTGAATGCTTTTTATTCAACTCCTGTAATAAGTATTAAGACTTATAATATTCTTTTTATAAATGTTTTACATGTTTATGCAAAACATTGACAAAAAAATAATTGATACATATTTACCAAGTGGAAACGTAATTGAAACGCGTTTTAAACATTTCAATTTAGCGCATTAGCGATTCAATATATAATTATTAAGAGTCATTATCATTACTTTTTTTTGACGGAATGCCTCGATCTCGAGATTCCTAATCGATTTTTGAGTTGTTTCGAAAGTTTATTCATTATCGATAGCCCAATGTAGATCGAAGTATTAGTTGAAATGAACTATTAGGAGGTGGTCGAGTAACAAAATTACGTTCGCGTAACTAAGTAACGGACGATTCTGGCGGGAACAACCGATGCATGGTGCCTGAAAATCTAATCTGTGATCAGGACGTGCAGGAAAAAATGAAACAGAACAACAAACGAACGCGAAACCGAGTATTCTGCGAACCGCGGGCACGCCGTTTTCGTTTACCCGAACACGATTGTTACGGAGCGGTTGCTGTTGTGTGCACAACAACCGTGATCCGCGTACATCGGTGGACCGGTCGCGGCGGTAAGGACGGCGGCGGCAGGAGCACACGTTCGCCCGGTGAAACGAACGGGCCGCGGCGGAGGTTTAATTTCTTGTGCAGTCACCGTTTAGACATTACCGCGCGCACCGCGTACGCACACGCACACACGCCCGCTCGCACACACGGTCGCACGCGTCTATCGCGAACGGACGTTTCCCGCACAAACGGTTTTGCGCCGCCGCACTCGTCGCACGCGTCTGACAACCGAGCACAATCGTACGCGATCGAATTTTTTTTCCCTCGATCCGTTCCTCTATTTGCTTCGACCACCGGACGAACAACGCTACGAGTCACCACTGGCCGTGTGCGAAATCGCACTCGTGTCACGATAATCCAGGTAAACATACGTGCACGTATACATTATTTTATAATATTTTTCGCATCCGGCCGAAAAGGGGATTTTTCATTTTTTCTCCGTCTCTCAATCTCGAGAGATCGGAATTTACGCTTTAACTAGCGAAACAAGACGAACTGGGATGATTTTTTTTTTCCGTCTCCGCTTGGACGATACGCGAACGTCCGGAGACTTTAACGCCGGGCTGATAAGTCCGTAAAGTTTTCATGGTTTCGTTTTTTGCGTTGAGGTAAAATTTTTATAAAATTTTGTAATGTAATATGTAAATATTTAACATTTACACGATTTTTAATTTTAACTAATGTAATATAATATAGCCACTTAAATTAATATTTTCGAAACACTTGACAGTTTAATATACTTTAAAAATATAGGTAGACATTTATGAATTGCATTCGGTATTGTTTTTTTGACTTTTCTTCGTGTGTTAATTAAAATAACTAATTTTTTTTTTTAAAAAAATTCAAATCCGAAAAATATAATTTTTTTGCTCAGTCCTAATAATTTTACCATTTATTTCACATTACATGGATAAAAATATATTTAACGTTTAACCAATGAATATTGGCATATTCAAACAAATAATTAGTTTAAAACATAAAACAAGAATTATAATTTATTTTATTGATTGGAGTATAAAATTTTAATTTATAAATTTAAAAAAATTATTGACCATATATTTTTTTATTATTATATAATATTAAATTCTATCAGTGTCAAATTTTTAAACTTAAATTTAAGAAGACACATTTTTTTCAGCGTTGTCTTAAGAGTAATTTCCATGTTATGAAAATATAAAAAAAAATTTGAAGTATTTACCCATCAATAATTATATTACTACTATGTAGTTTAATAAATACAAATCAATACAGATTAATTTTATTGTTATTCATATCATAGTAGACTAATATTATAACACTTTGATCATTTTTATTCAAATAATTAAAGTTTTTTAATATCTGCAATTCGTATAACAGATAATTTTCTTAAATTATTATTATATAATATATGTATTTAAACGTGTTTATAATCATATGACTTTTCTATACTACGAGAAAAAATGTATAATTACACTAAATTAAACATCACGACGAAAAATACTGTGTAAATAATATAATTAATGGTTTGTCTAATTTTCATTTGTAAACTATATTTTTTTTTCAAGATAATTTTTGTGCTTGTCAAATTATACAACCATTTGGTTTGTATATAAGTGAATTTTACCAACTCGATCTTTTTAAATGTATCTCGTTTTAATTATTTTATAGCTAAAAAATGTTTTTAATATATAATTAAATAAACAAATAATTTATGTATAGAAATAAATAAATGTTTAGCCTTATTAGTATTATTAGTATTATTATATTTGTAAAGCAGAGCAGTTTTGATTTTAAAAATTTTCATCAGGTATATACAAAGTCAATAAAATAAGAAGTCATGATATTATTGACTTTTTATATACTTACATGATGATGAATTTTTAATTTCAAACCAGTCGTACTTTACAAGTATAATAATACTTCCGTCTAGTATTTATTTATATTTCTATATATGAACTATTTGTTTATCTATTTATATTTAATTTACGAATATTAAATATTCAATTATTTTTAATTGTTATTTTATTTTTCATTATTTTATTATATGTTTGAATTTTATTTTGAATATCACACAGAGAATAGTTAATAGCAATTATGATTTTTTTACAATTATAGTTTTTGTAAAAAATGTAAAGCTTTAAAAATAATTTATGCTTTAAATATTAATCATAATATTTAAAATTTTTCAATCGGTATAAGTAGTCAAATTAGGTGCTTAGCTTAATTTCGCATGAATAATCTCTATACCTACTTATATAATTTGCTAATACGCGCTTGGGATTAAGAAACATGTTGACTCTTTTATATTTATTTATTTTTTGATTTTTCTATAAATATTTTCAAATTATTAATGACAAAGCGTGTCGCATTATATTATGGTAAACACTAAACGTATGTATATATATATATATATATATAACAACCTGCAGTTGTCATGCTTCACTGATGATCGCTATGTTTCATACAGTTATTGTGTATCTTTAAAATAGGTGCATATACACAAAAGAATTATTAAATAATAATAATATTATTGCATTTTTTCATAAAATTCAAGTTTTTTTTCGTAATTCAGATACATCGATATGATTCTCGAGGTTCCTTAAAATAGTTACAAGTGTATCTGACTGTATATTTTACCAATAAAATCAACGTAAACTTGATGGACGCCTGTGCCGTCGTTGTTGTCGTTGTGGTCGCGGCCGCATTCGGGAGTGAACTCGACGGCGACGAATATCTGAGTTCACCAAAATTATATAAAAATTAAAGTAGATGGCGCATGCATACGCGGGAGTTTGTGGTATCTTGGCGAGGAGTACGAAATGCGCGGAGAAGAGGAAAAAGAAAGTAAAACATTGCATTATCAAATAATACGTTTCGTACACAACCCGTCGTTTACATTGTTATTTGAACGTTGTGTATAATCTAGGTCCTGTTGTTTTATTTGTTTTTTTTTTTTATCATTCTGCCCGTGTTATTATTATCACGAACTATGAGGGTATATATTATTGACTTTCGCTCTGAATTTTATGGATAGCAAACGACTGAATTAAAAAACACGATATCCGTAGATACATACAGAGTATGTCTGTACACGTGCACGTGGTTCCCAGTCAGTTCTATGGCCGTAGGGTCTTAGCTCATCTGTTATTTACGTGTAACACATATGTACGGATACATGTTGTATTTATATTATACATACGATTAAACCCCGTGATAATAAAACATTTTTACTCTTTCACTATACAATTAGAGAAATTCGCTTTCGATCTCATTATGCGCGGGAGTACACGAATGATACAACTTATAGTTTATACGTCATGTGGTTTTAAATATTTTATCTTACTCGCGAATGCAAATTAGACTCTTGAAAATTAAATTTTGACCTTGTTTTCTCTAGAAATCATTACGTTTCCAAGGCCGTCGCTTCAATCCGTAGGAAATCTAATATAACATTATAACGCATATGCGTGTAATAAGTGCACAGTACAGATCACATGTACACCGTCATGATGATCATCATCATTATGCATCGTTTACGGATATGTATATTATACACATGTTAAGAGTCAAGACTTAGTCGCGTGCGAGTCCAGTAATATATGGCATCTATGTATGATCATACGTATTTAATATAATATACGTTATCCGTTTCGGTTTTTCGAACCATTTAATAAATATAAGTTATAGGAATCGGTGTGCCTATATATTCGTGTGCCTTTTATGTGTGCACAATAGTAATAATAATTATTGTTTTACGAAACGTTTGAAAAATACGTTAAATCATTTCAATGTTTATACACACACACATTTGAAATAACGTTGGCGTAAATAAATGTGACGATTTGAATATTCTTTTCGTCGTTGTCGGATAATACTCAATATACTTAAAGACATCTAAGATGATTTTATTCTATGCTCATTTACGCGTATTATTATGCAATGATGCAACAATAATTATTATTAAAATAATAATCAGAAGAGATTGCAAATATGACTTTTTTTTTCGTCTTGGTCCCACATCCATATGATTCTTTTTATTTTTGATCTATTGTGACATCTAAATTCGTTGTTTGCTATAATATTACGATACTTGAGGTGCTATAACATACCATTGAAAATAGTATGCTCGGATAAAATCACTGCTGTATTTTCTAGCATTATGTGGTTATGCCGTTAGTTGAAAGAAAAAAACGGTCAAAACATTTAATTAGAAACAGATATGGTTTTCTAACATGCACACAATCCCACACACACACACACACAAGTGCACATATAAGATGCATACTACAGCGATCCTTTGCAAATCCAGTACTCTAAAATATGACCGAGAAATCCGGTGACGGTCATCGTTGACTGAGCGTGCAGTGTGTTAAAATAGACCTGTGTGCAAGATGGCGACGATTCCCCGTACTCGCGGAAAAATTAAAAAAATCCTGTAATGCACCTACGTCGTGTTCATTCAGAGAGAGAATACACACGTTCCACTAGCTCTCACCACTGGCAAAATCGTGAGATCGCTACATGCGCTCACATGTATATAGCCATCATTATAGTATAAATAATTTAAACGAAAAATATACTCATTACGCCAGAATGACGAACGCGCGGAACTCAATGCGGAAAATAAATAAAGCGACTGAGAGAGTCGGTACAAAAAAGATCGAGAGAGAAAAATACACACCCGTGAAACGGTAATTTGTTGGTTTTTATTTTTTTTTAGATTTTATTTGTGTTTTATTTTACTTACATTCGCGTCGCTGCAAAACGACAACGGATTTACCGCTTGAGAAGAACGACCGACGAATATATAGTTGAAACAAAACGCGTGACGACGAAAACACCGTGATCAGGATGTCGCGTGATACAGATGTAATGGTATAAGCGAGTAACCTTGTTCGCGATCTAAAATGGTAATCAGTTTTCTTCTTTTTCAATTTCTTTTTTTTTCTAGAAATTTGTTTTGTTATATATTGTGCGATTACGCCGAACATGCAACACGGCGAAGGAACAAACAATTATAGACCGAAGACACGAAAAGACAATTACATATATATTACTACAGAATCCGGAATTCTTCGTAGTATATATTTTTGTTTTGTATTCCGTAAAAAATGTTTATACTCCAATACTACTTTGAAAATGACTCGGGGCTGTTGATTTTTTATTCCAATTTTCCAAAGTTGTGCTAATATACAAAAAAGAGGTTTGTAAATATAAGCCTTATACCCGTTACGTTCAAAGATCCGTGTACATTTTTCCAACAACAGCGTAAAAATAAACAAATTCCGTACATGCAAAAACCGCATGCAGAGGAAATCGGTTTCATTATACCCGTCGACTGCGTTTGAAATGATATTCGAAGAAAACGTACGTCCGTGCCCC